GGATGAAGATGTTCACATCCTGGACAGAGAGGAACGATGGTTTGAGAGAGGAGTAAAGGAGGCCATCTTTGTGAAAAGAAATCGTCCATCGTTAAACAGGGGTGGAGGCCTCCGGATTCAACTGTCCCCCTCTTACAATGCTGTGATTGCTAGTATCACTCAGCCCTCTGTGAGTAGTAAACAGCCATCAGTGTGCTAATGATCCATTGTTAGGCTGATGGTCCTTCTTGATCATGTGATCAGCCGGTTTTGGTTGTCAGCAGCAAAACTGGTTGATCCACTCTGAGAAGGTGCTATTTAAGAGACTGAGCTGAATACAGCACCTCAGACTGATGAAGTCTTTCGGATGAGAGACGAAACGTTTCTACAATTTTTATTTTATTTTTTAATGTCCAGAGGACCAGATTCAACTTTTTAGATTTTTCTACCTGGATTATTGAGCATGCATCAGGACATTTTAATAAAGTTCTTATTCAGAGTTAAACTGGTAAACTTTTTAGTTCTGGATTCATTCAAAGACTAAAAACAGTTTGGGAAAACAACAAACTTATAGGCAAGATGAAACCTTTTAAAATAAATCACGAGCTGTACAAATTTCTCACCTAAGTGTAAACAACACAAATATCACACAGTAAAAACAGAAACCAACAAACTGACACTGAAGTTTGCTTTGACACATGTGCAGCAGTCTTACAAGAACAGAGGGTTTTGATTGGATCTCAAAGACATGATCTGACAGCAACTACAGCAGTCCCTCGTTTATCAATGGGGTTTGGGACCCCCCCCCCCCCCCCCCCCATTATAAGTGAAAACCTGCAAAGTAGGGATATAGTATACAAGTATATATTAAGGTGTTTTAAACTCTTCCCACACTTTTGCAATGTTCCTAAAGCCCCCAGTATACTCCCGGGTACGTCCATACGCAGAGGTACGCACGTACGTACGCGGAGGTATGAGCGTACCCCCCAGGGCATGTCCGTGCAAAGCTCCAATTTTTACAACCGCATACGTGTACGCGGTGTCGCACAATAAACTGCCCAGCGAGGGACTGTTTTGTATGCAACACCAATGTATTAAATTCCCCTTCTTCATCCCTGATCTGGCCTTTTCTTTTGTTTTTTTGCCAAGAGGCAGTGATATCTTCCTCCTCCGTTGATGCCATGACTGAAATGGTGAGAAATGAAGGAATTTGTCACGAGCGAATTAAACTCAGGTCCAGCGTGGCTGCGGGAGGGTCTGGAGATTTCCTGGTGGGCTGATCTGATGTGTGGGCTGCAAAGCCAGCGCTCCCTGTTTTTTTTTTTTTAAAGATCTTTTTATTAACATATAAACACAGAACACCGCTGCGGCTGAGGCTGCCAGCGCTCGTTTTTTTTGCTTTTTTCCGACCTGTCAATCAATCCAGTAGGCGTGTCAGCAAATGACCAATCGGCGACCTGAATTTGTCCCGAAGGTAAACGCCCCTTGTCTGTGAAGCTGCTCTGCAGCTGCTCGGGGTGTACGCTGGAGTACGAAGTCTGAATCCTCTGCGTACAGTACATGTGTACGTACGCGTGAATGGACGTACACGGGAGTATACTGGGGGCTTAACAATTTTCTAAACTCTAAACTCTCGAAAAGAGCACAGCATGTCATGATTTCCACTCTCTGCCACCGGCTGCTCTCTGTTACATGCCAGCGCTCTTGGCCACGCCCACTTCTCCAATGCAGAGAGGAGATCTGACACTCTGGAGGAGGAAGCTTCTCCTGCAGCTGTGGGCTGCACACAGGTGCAGCAG